TTCTGCTCTGCGCTACCCTGATGGTGCTCTTGGCTGCCCTGGGCACTACCTTCCAGAGCTGATTCTTGAATGAGTGCAAATATCTAAGTAAGGTGGGATGACTAAATCAAAGCATCACCACTACCTCCAAAAACCCCAAAAAGAAAGTGTATATGCTTCATATTGACCTTCAGAATAAAATAAAAGATTGTCACTTAAGAAACCTAATTCAGATTTAAACTTCTTATTTTTCATGTGGACATGGAATAACACAGGGTTTTTTGTAAGCTCGGCAGGAGCTGGTGTTTTGCACTTTGGACACCTACATGCCCTGACTGCTTTAGCTCAGTGCTCTATGTAGTGACTGTGTAGTGTCTTGAGACCTTAGCCCTGCCTTGCTGAACAGCTTTTCAGGAGTGACAGAAATTTGCTGAGGACCAAAATGTTTTCAGCGTAGTCAGTTCACAAATTTCTAATATGAGAGAGAGAATTACAGCTGAGACATAGAAATACCATAGGAAGAGTTACTCTAAGTAGATGAAGAAAAGTTACTGGATGCTAGAAATAGTACCATAAAGTCTGTAAAATTTGTCAACTTCCTGTTAGGATTTTTAATCACAGAATAGAACCATAGAATCATTTATGTTGGAAAAGACCTTTAAGATCATGGAGTCCTACCATAAACGTAACATTGCCAAGTCCATCAGTTATTTGGATGAGCCTGAAAATGGAGTCATTTAGCCAAAAAATGTCCAGTATCCACATATGTAGTGTTACTTAGCCCACGTAGATTTATGCCACAATCACTATAATGCGTGAAAGGGGTAATGGTTTTAAACTAAAACAGGGTAAATTTAGACTAGATATAAGGACAAGTTTTTTTACAATGAGGGTAGTGAAGCACTGGAACAGGTTGGCCAGGAAGGTGGTAGATGCCCCATCCCTGGAAACATTCAAGGTCAGGGTGGATGGGGCTCTGAGCAGCTTGACCTAGCTGAAGATGTCTCTGCTTATTGCATTGCAGTTAGGATAGGTGACCTATAAAGGTCCTTTCCAACCCAAACTATCCTGTGATTAGATACTCAGAAGTTTTTAAGTCTCTGGCTTGTCAGACTTCTGATCTCTCTCTTACCAGTCTTACCTGCAGTAGCAACTGCAGAGGTGCAGTCACAAAATGGAGCTGAAAATACTACAATTACCTTTTCCAGTGAATGTTAGATCAGAACTTGATTTGTTTTCTTATGCAGCTATTCAGCTAAAGGCAAACAATACATTATTTCTGTAATGCTAATTACAATCTGCTTGGTATGTGTTGCTACTAAATTCCTCCAGCAATTATTCCTGTCATGGCAACAATGGAGAGCCTGTCTTCAGGTGCCTGGCTCCAAAAGTTCACCTTCCTGTAGTGCTAGGTTGATTGATCATTGCTGTACGGCACTCAAGAACATTCCCTACAGATACCTTGTCTTTTGGTTTCTCACGTAGGCAGTGTTAGATGCTAGAGAAGCTGTGTGGTATTCTTGCTGCTCTTTGCAAAATGGCAGAGATCAGGGCACCCATCAGTCCTAGAACACCAAGGTTGAGCCTGCAAGTGAGGTCAGGATTGTGTTGCAGAGCGTGGTGAATGTTGTCAGTTTTGGAGTGTGGCCTGGTGTAAGTCTCTATTCAGGAAAAAGTGTTCTACAAAATTTGTGATCTCTTTTTTGCAGCCGCCAGCATCCTGAGCAAGATAAATCAGTCCATAGATCCGTGTGAGAACTTTTATCGATTTGCGTGTGATGGCTGGATATATAATCACCCTATTCCTGAAGATATGTCAAACTATGGTGTTTATCCTTGGCTGCGACACAACGTAGACCTCAAACTGAAGGGTAAGTGTGTAGTTTCTGAAAGCGTTTGGTTGGCTTGTCACAGTAACTTGTTAATTGGCTGGTTTTGAAATGAATAAAAACTTCATGCTTCATTCTGATCATTTGATAATATCCAACAGCCGAACCTGATGTTCTGTTTTAAGTATATTTTTGTTGTTTTTCATTGGAAATAATATTGAGAGATAGGGAATTGTAACAGAAACAGAATTTGGGAGGAAGAATAAAACTGCTGGAAACTGTCAGTTAAGAATGGAGAGACAAAAGGATACTCCTTAGAATTATAGGATCTTTTAGGTTGGCAAAGACCTTTAAGATCAACCCTTAACCTAACACTGCCAAGTCCACCACTAAACCATGTCCCCAAGCACCTCGTCCACATGAATTTTAAATACTTCCAGGGATGGTGACTCAACCTCTTCCCTAGGCAGCCCGTTCCAGTGCTTGACACCCTTTTCTGTGAAGAAATTTTTCCTGAATTCTAAATCTTCCCTGGTGCAACTTCAAGCCATTTCCTCTTGTCCTCTTTTCTTATCTTTATACCAAAGAAAAAGGC